TCTCTGCACAGGTTGGTTATCCCAAGCTGTGGGATTTTCAAGTCCCCAGGCTGGGCTGGTGTCAGGCAGAGCCTGGGGAGGAGTTAAATGTGTGACAGAGCCGGGAGGAGGGGGCAGGTGCTGCCTGTAAATACCTGTACCTGCCTCGGAGGGGGCCGTGCTAATGAAGGGAGGAACTGTGAGCAGCCCCTCGGGGAGGGGGCAGCAGCAGCAGCAGCAGCAGCAGTGGCTCTGTGGGTCCTGGGGAGGGAGGGACAGATGGGACGGGGTTTTAGGGACAGGGTTTTAGGGACAGGGTTTTAGGGACAGGGTTTTAGGGACAGGGTTTTCAGGAGAGCCCTCTTGGAGGTGACTGTGGCCGAGTGCTGGAGCTGCTCTCTACAGGTGGGACAGTTTCATGCTGGGACACCCTGAGCCCAGCCCAGCCATGGGCCTTGGGATCCTTTCCATGATCCTGGAATGATCCTGGGATCATCTCCACATGAGCATCAGGCACCAAAGTGAAGCATCTTCCTTTGGTGGGGGTGATACCCTGGGGCAGGGGGTGGTCCCTTCCTGGAGCATCCTGGGCTCCAGAGGGGTGCTCCAGGCTCCAGGGGGATGTTCCAGGACTCCGGGGGGATGCTCCAGGCTCCAGGGGGATGCTCGAGGCTCCAGGGGGATGCTCGAGGCTCCAGGGGGATGCTCCAGGATCCAGGGGGATGCTCCAGGCTCCACAGGGATGCTCCAGGCTCCACAGGGAGGCTCCAGGGAGATGTTCCAGGCTCCACAGGGAGGCTCCAGGGGGATGCTCCAGGCTCCAGAGGGGTGTTCCAGGCTCCAGGGGGATGTTCCAGGCTCCACAGGGATGCTCCAGGCTCTAGGAGGATGCTCCAGGGGGATGCTCCAGGCTCCAGGGGGATGCTCCAGGCTCCAGGGGGATGCTCCAGGCTCCAGGGGGATGCTCCTTGGCAGTGTCTGGCAGCATCCAGAGGGGCTCAAGCCCTGTCTGCCTGCCCGGCCCCCCAGAGCCCCTGAGCTGGGTGTGGGGTGCTGATTTTGGGAAGGAGGAGACCCCAGCCCAGCTCCATCCCCACTCTGTACAGACTGGACTGGAGGGAAGAGGACAGCCGGGAAACGAGCGGTGGAGAGCAGGGGAGGCAAGGAATGATGGAAAGGAACGGAGCAGGGAAGGGAGCAAAGTGTGGGGAGAAGGGAAGGTCTGAGCCTCACGGGGTTTTATCAAAGTTTGAAAGAACAGGAACCCTGGTTTGCGTGGAGGGGACAGGCTATTTTTAGCCGTGGGTAGGATGTCAGCTCTGAAAATAGCCTGCTACCAGATCCTAATGAAATCCTCTCTTTGGCTCTCACACGGAGCGAGTTTGGAGGGGGAGGATCGCTGTCACACCCGCAGCCGAGGAGCTCCTGACATTCACAATGACTCGCCTGCTTTTCTCTTATTTATTTATTAATTTTATTTTATTTTATTTTATTTTCCTTCCCCCTCCGGTTTCTCCTATTCTTTGCCGGCTCTGCCTTACGCCGAGCAGAGGAGTCACCAGCCAAAAAAGTGACTGCGGGGGCGGTGCTGCTTAGCTACGGCCAAATCCCAGCAGCATGTGACCAGCCTGGCAATTTAATCCGGAGCCTCGCTCCCCGGCACACTCGAGTTAAAGTGACATTGAAACGGGGACTCCAAGAGCTGAAGGAACCGAATTTCGGGGGAGCTGATTCCCCCCAGCCCCCGCCGTCCATCCCTGGGGAGCGGGGATCGCTCCATGGGCTGTGGGGAGGGAGGGAGGGAGGGAGGTGGTACCCAGGGGAGGGAGGATGCTCGGGACAGGTGGGATCGGGAGGGAGCGAGGCTGGGAGAGCTGCAGGGTGGATGGATCAGAGCGCTGAGCACCTGGAGCACCAGCAGGAGGGATCCCGGTGGGATACTCGGTGTGCTTGGGGTGGCCTGGAGAACACGGGATGCCTGGGATATGGGGGATACCTGGGACATGTGGGATTCCTGGGACATGTGGGATTCCTGGGACATGTGGGATTCCTGGGACATTTGGGATTCCTGGGACATTTGGGATACCTGGGACATTTGGGATTCCTGGGACATGTGGGATACCTGGGACATGTGGGATGCCTGGGACATGTGGGATACCTGGGACATGTGGGATACCTGGGACATGTGGGATTCCTGGGACATTTGGGATTCCTGGGACATTTGGGATACCTGGGACATAGTCAGGATAACACTTTCCCAACCGCACTGGCAGTGAGAGATGTCCATCACAAGACGTGGATCAGAAAGAATGTACACATATCTATGTTTACAGTCACTGTCCTGGGAAAGTCTTTAGAAACTGCGTCAGCAAGCTCAGAAGCTGAGTTTTCAGGGCAACAGGTGATGCCATGGGGGCAGTGATGCCATGGGGGCAGTGATGCCATGGGCAGTGATGCCATGGGGGCAGTGATGCCATGGGGGCAGTGATGCCATGGGGACAGTGATGCCATGGGGTGATGCCATGGGGTGATGCCATGGGGGCAGTGATGCCATGGGGGCAGTGATGCCATGGGGTGATGCCATGGGGGCAGTGATGCCATGGGCAGTGATGCCATGGGGGCAGTGATGCCATGGGGGCAGTGATGCCATGGGGACAGTGATGCCATGGGGTGATGCCATGGGGTGATGCCATGGGGGCAGTGATGCCATGGGGGCAGTGATGCCATGGGGTGATGCCATGGGGGCAGTGATGCCATGGGCAGTGATGCCATGGGGGCAGTGATGCCATGGGGTGATGCCATGGGGGCAGTGATGCCATGGGGGCAGTGATGCCATGGGGTGATGCCATGGGCAGTGATGCCATGGGGACAGTGATGCCATGGGGACAGTGAGGGCATGGGGTGATGCCATGGGGGCAGTGATGCCATGGGGGCAGTGATGCCATGAGGAATGATGCCATGGGGTGATGCCATGGGGACAGTGATGCCATGGGGGCACTGATGCCATGGGCAGATGCCATGGGGTGATGCTATGGGGAATGATGCCATGGGGAATGATGCCACGGGATCTCACTCCCCTGCCCTCCCGTGCCCCTGGGCTGGGCCGGGGTGCCGGATCCCTGCTGCTCCGGGCTCTGGAGAGCCCCTGGAGACGCCGCTCCTGCTCCTGCTCGCGCGGGGCCGGAACCATCTGCATCAATGAGTCAGCAGGACCCACTTAACACTTCCCCGGCAGAATCTGCTCCTCTCTCCCGACAGAATGGGCAGCTCCGGCAGGCTCTGGCAGCGTGTTACAATCTCAGCTCATTAAGGGACCCATCCTGAGCGCTTTATTGATGTTTTATGCTGCCTGGCTCCATCTTCAGAGGGAAACTCTCATTGCAGTCAATGACTGCACCTCCGGCCGCTGCAGGCTGAGCTCGGAGCTCCGGATCCGGCTCCGGGAGAGGCAGGCTCAGCTCCCATGGCTGCGAACCGTGGGGTTCGACCCCGAAATGGGCAAGGAACGTCTCAGGGCGAGCATCCCCCCTTTCTTTCCAGGGACTAGGGAACACTCAAAAGGAAAACACAAGGAAGGGGTTGGTTTTTTTCCTTGCTTCTCCCTGTTTCTGTGAGAAGGAGCTGCATGACAGCAGGGAAGGGAAATGATGTTTCCTCTCCCCCAGCGCTGCCGTCTGTTCAGCCGAAGCCCAGCCGGGTGGGTGTACCTGGCCTCCTCCTCTCCCAGCATGCTGGGAGCCACATGTCCCCACCTCGGGAGAATCACAGTCCTTTAATAAGTTCTCCAGCGCTGGCTGTTGCTTCTGAAAAGCTCGTGGCACTGTCTGGCTTCAAGTGGCTTTTACATAATACAGACTGTCAGGCTAGATGAGCATCACGGTCCCTTCTGGCCCTAAAATCTGTGAATCTCCAAATTAGAGGGCACCAGCACCTCCTTGTTTCTGGCTGATTGAATCAGGGGAATCGCGTGTTCTCTTTCTCCTCTCTCTTTTTTTTTTCCTCCCTCCCCTGCATCATCTCTAAGTGGAGGTGAATTACCCTCCCCCTGAGCCCAAGCTCGGCAAACAGCAGCAGGAGAGATCAGGCAGCTTCAGCCTTGCTCTGGGATCTCCTGCTCTTCTTCCCACTCCAGGGCTGATTCCCTGGAATTGTCTGGCTGTGGCCACAGCCAGGGCTGGAGCTGCTCAGCCCCAGAGGCAGCTGGAAAATCTCTGTGTGGAAAACAGTGCTGAGCTCTCCTGATCGTTTTAAAATCCCAGTTAAGTTCTCCAGGCTTCGGACCGAGCTGCTTGGGATTTGTGACCAAGGTGTGGATGTAGAGAAACACTTTTTGGGAAGGGAAACGAAAGTGAGTGACTCCCCGTGTTTTGGGAGGTGTAGGGGGAGCAGGAAGAGCACAGCAGGGAGAAACTGCTGGTGATCTGAGGATTGGTGGGGATGGGGTTCCCCAAAGGCAGGGGTCTGCAGCAGGAGCCTGGGAACCCCGGGGTGTCCATCCCCATCCCGGCTGCTCAGGCAGGAACGCACTGAGAGCCTCAAACATCAACGGGACACGCGGGAGCTGCTCCTCCCCATCCCTTCGGGCAGGACCCCAGCGCTGTCCTGGGATTTCCACGGGGCTGGGGAGGGACACCAAGCCCAAAGGCGAGCTGGGGAGCCGGCGTGGGGCTCAGGGGGGCTCTGGGAGGGGGCTCCAGTCCCTGTGCACACCCCACAAGGGGAGGGACGGCCAGAAACCCGCAGAGCTCTCACACCTTCCCTTCAGGAATAACCACATCCCTCTCCCAGCAGCCAAACCCCCTCCTGAGCGGGGGAGGCTCCATCCCAGACCCTTCCTTTGGGGGAGGCTCTGAACTTTCCTGCTCTGCCCTGGGGTTCCCAGCCCTGCTCTCCGGTGCTGTGGTCAATAACTCAGCGGCAGGCTGCTGCTCTCCCTGCTCATCCCACCCTCCCACTCCTCCCGGGAGCTCTGCATTCATGCCTTTTTGGCCCTCCCTCGGCAGCGAGCGAGGAATAAAGCGGCGCCGGCTGAGCACGACGCGGGCTGCGCTGGGATGCTGCGAGGCAGCGAGGGAAGCCTGAATCACCGGCACCTCAAGGTGGGAGTGAGAGATTGGGGCTGGGAGAAAGGGAGGACATCACACGTGCCCCCGGGAGTCGGGTGCTCTGAGCCAGCTGGCTGGGAATCGGGCAGCTCGGATCCCTTCTGTGCCTTTAAAGACGGAGCCGGGAGCGATGGGGAGAAGAGGAGGGGCCGGTGGGAGCGCAGGGGGATTCAGCCTGGAGGCTCTGAGCTGGAGCCGAGGCTGAGGGATGCTGTCAGGGACTCGTCCTTCTTGGAGAAACTCCTGGAGGAGCATCCCTGGTGGGATCCCATGGAGATGGAGAAACCCTCAGCCTAGAAATGCCTGAAAACGAGACGGCAAAGGCTCAGCTGGGCGCCGTGTGGGAGAGTGGAGCCCCTGGCCCCAGCTCAGGGGTTCCAGTGCTTCTGCTGGCATCAACTGGGAGAGAGCCCCTGAGGTCCGTGGGGTCACTTCAGTGTGTCCCCATCAGTTACAGCCACAAGCAGCAGATCTGGATTTGTCACTCTTACTCCAGGTGCTTCTCTTCCCCCGTCCCCGTCCTGCTGTCACACCCTCAGCCCTGTGTTTGCCATCCAGCCTGGGCACCCGAGGGGGTCCCGCGCTCCTGGGCACCTGCCTGGGGGGGCGAGGGCTCCGTGCTTTCATCTTCACGTGGCTGAGACACATCCTGAGCCCTCCCCGAGCTGGGGGTGTCGCTTTGCTCAGCTGGCGAGCACTCCCAGAAAGGATGGGTGACTGCCCTGGGAGTGCCGAGGGGAATGGGGGGAGGGTGGGGGCTCCACAGGTGACAGCCGGTGTCATCAGGGTGGCCTTGAGCCTTTGGGACCATAGAGCCGGGTCCACTTTATTATAAACGGGGCTGAGGGGTGTCACAGGGACCCCTGGTGCTCCTGAGCCACGGGCAAGAGAGCAGGAAGGACAGAGCAGAGCACGCAGCGACTTGGGAAAACCTCCGGGATGGGAGATCCTGCTGGGACCTTGAGTCCAAGCTTTTAGTTTCTGGGAGAGTGGGATGTGTGTGGGCCGGTTCTGTGGTCTCGGTAAGGAAAAGCTGCTTTCCAGCCTCTCTGCCGAGTGTGTCTCTACAGGAGCTCGTTGGGGGTGGCTTTGGGCTCTCGGGAAGTGCCGGAGGCGGATGGCGCCTGGGCTGTCCCGGCTGGGAAGAGCTCAGCTGGGAGAAGGTTGGGCTCGATGACCTCAGAGGTCTTTTCCCACCTTTTCCATGATTCTGCGAGGTGACCGCGGCCGTTTCACGGCGATTTACGGATCAAACCCGAGGTGAGGGATGCCGAGCCGCTCCCGGCCCGGCCCGAGGGGACCCTCCCGCGGTGTCGCGCTGACCCCGGCCCGTCCCGAGCGTCGCTGCCGTGTCCCAGGGGCGGTGTCGCGGTGGGCGCAGGGGGAACAGCGGCCCGGGCTGCGGGAGCGCCATCCCATGGGGCGCCGGGAGGGTCACGGAGCCCGGGCCGGACGGAAAGGTTTAAAGAGCGGCTGAGCATCCCGCGGCGGGGCCGGGCGGCAGCGGCGCCTGGGGAGCGCTGCGGGGCTCTGCGGAGCCGCTAATGGGCCGAGTCCATTTCAGAGGGATGACGCCACTTGGGTAAAGCGTTAAGAGCTCCGGGAAGGCAGCGCAGAGCGAGGGGGAGCGCGATGCTCCCGGGCAGCGCCAGGTCCCTCCCTCCTCCCTCCATCCCTCCTCCTCCTCCTCCCTCCTCCCAGCCTCCCGTTCCCACCGAGCGCGGGGCCCCCCCCGCCGCTCCCGCTGCCCGCGGCGCGGGGCTCGGGGCTCGGGGCTCGGCTGCGGGGCCGGGGCTGCCCCCGCCGCGCTCGGGCTCCGCGGGCGGATGGACCGGCGGCGGCTGCGGGGTGAGTCCGCCGGGCTGCGGGACGGCGGCGGAACGCTGCGGGGGGACACGCGTGGGCCGAGCGGGCGGGGGTCCCGGGCCGCTCCGGAGGGAGGGGGTCCCCGGCTGGGCGCCGGCCGTGCGAGGGAGCTGCGGCTCCGCGCGGTGGGGGCTGCGGTCCCGCACACGCGTGGGGTGCGGGCGGTGCGGCCGGGGCCGAGCGTGGCTCCGAGTCACGCCTGGCTTGTCCCGGGGGTTGTCCCGGGGGCTGTCCCGGGGGCTGTCCCGCACACCAGCGGGCTGCGGGCGCGGCGGTGCCCGGGGATCCCGGGGACGCGGGGGCTGCGGGACCGAGCCGGCTGCGAGCCCCGCGTGGGCTGCGCTCTGAGCGGGGGCGGGGGCTCAGCCTCCCCCCGGCACCCAGACAGGGCCAGCGGGTCCCTTTTCTCCCACCTGGCGCCCTGAGCCGCTTGCCCCCGGCTCGCAGCCACCTCCAGCCTGTAAATCATTTGCTTTTACGATCCGTCCTCTGGCCCATTATCACACGAACTTTATATGTTTGGGGCTGGTGGTGGCCATAAAGCTGGCCCGGTTTCCGGGGCTGGCATGCCCGCCCGGCAGGCCGGGTGTGAGGAGGAGGAGGAGGCTGGGGGGACGCTGCCCCGGGCCCCCCAGGCCGGCAGGTAGGCAGGAGGGGCGCAGCAGAGCCGCGGGGATGCTCAGCTCAGTGGGGCTGGGATACGGACTGCTGGCAGCCCTGGAATCGGGCTGGAGCAGGGAGGGGTGGTAGGGAGTGGGGGGCACTGGGCTATTCTGGGGGTCCCAGCTCCGGACGTCCAGTCCCTCTGGAGAACCCACAAAGGTTCTGTTCCGCTCCCCTTGGTTCCCACAGGGACATTTCCATCCCCCCAGCCAGCGAGCTCAGGTCCCTGTCAGATCTCTGTGCCTGGGAATCACAGCTCTGGGGGCATCTGGGTCCCGGACCAGTGCTGGGGGTGCTCCCAACATCTGTCCTTCTCAGGGTGCTGTGTCTGAGCCCCCAGATCCTCAGTGTCCAGCACAGCCCGTGGCCAGCTCCTCTCAGGCTGTGTTCCCCGGGCTCGGCTCCTCCTCACGGTGTCCCTGCTGCCCCAGCCCGGCTCAGGGATCTCCTCGTGCCCCCTGAGCTCCAGCAGTCCCGAGGTTTGTGTTCCCTGTACTGGGCCAGCCCTTTGGCTGCCCTTTATCTCCCAGCCCCATCGGCTCCGTGGCTGCAGGACCCTCTGTGGGGTCTCTCCCTTTGGGGCTCCCCGTGGTTCAGCCCCCCAGGACCCTCACGGGTGTCATTCAAGCCTGAATGACCGAGTACCGAGCCCAGGTGAGCGGGGATGGACACCGGGGTGGGAGCAGGGTGGAACCAGCATCGTTCCCTGGCTGATCCATCCCGGCAGGATCCGGCTCACGGGGGATGTGGGAATGCACAGAGGCTGCTCCCTGCTCCCCTCGGCACAGTCCCAGCTGCTCCTCAGGGGGGTGCCGGGGCTTCAGTGGGACCCTCCGAGGCTCGGAGCTCGGTGGCAGCAGGTGACAGGCACGAGAGCTTTGTCTCAGGCCTGTTCCCATCCCTGCAGGGCGCTCACGGCACTTCCCCGGGCCAGCCCTGCCCTCCTGGTACTGCTGGGAGAGAAAAGGCTCCCTAAATCACCCGCGGGCGTCCTGGGTGAGCGACTCCTCACTGGCTGCATCTCCCCGCACGGGGAATGGCGTTTTCCCCCGAAAACCCCAAATCTGAGCGGATCAGTTGCCTTTTCTTTCCGGAGAGGGGGATGGGAGAGACAAGATCTTGCTTGAACAGTCAAAGTAAGTTGCCTTTGCTTTTCCCCGCTCCTCAAGGTCAGCCTAGCTAATGAAAATCAATCTTTCCTCTGCCTCTCTCTGCTGCATGAGCAGATTCTACCTGTGGCCCCTTCACCTACATGAAAGCGGCGGCTGCCGAGCGTGGGCAGCGCCGGAGGAGTTTCCTCCCGGAACGGCGTTTTCCTGCGGCCCGGCCACAGGGACAGTGTCGGTGTCACGGGGGGATCGCTCCTGTGATCCCCCTTCTGGCTCCCGGGGAAGCTGCCTGCACGGGAATCACGGATCCCGCATGGAAATGTGGGCTGGAAGCGCTGGGGAGGCTGGTGGCCGGGCTCTGGAGGGCAGTGGGTGACGCCCGTCCCCTGTGTGCAGGTGGCAGCAGCGTGTCCCTCGCTGCCAGGGCCGGGAGCTCTCACCCCCTGCTCCCTGTCCTCCCCCAGCCCCAGCCCGGGCTCTCCCTGGCCAGCTCTGGCACATGTGGGTTTGGAGATGGAGCCATGGGGTCAAACATGCCAGGAAGGGGAGTGGTGGGACACGGAATCCTCCCTGCCCCGTCCTCGGCGGCGCTGACCTTCCTGGGCTCTGCTGCCAGCCGGGAGGTGCTGTGTCCTGAAAACAGCGGCGAAGGGCACGGCAGGGCGCTGCGAGGGGCACGGCAGGGTTTGTCTGTGCCAAGGCTGCCTTCCCTCGTGCCTGTGCCAGGCTGGGAGGGAAACCCGCCCTTCCCGGTGCTCCTGACGGGAGCAGTTTGGCTCCTGCGCTCTGCATGGGGCAGTGGGATGCTGCGGTCCAGCAGCACTTGGGGTCTGTGGGACAGCCCTGTCCTTGGCCAAACGTGGGGATCATTAGTTGCAATTTCATCCCTGGAAGTGTTAAAAAGAAAAAAAAAAAAAACCGCAACTGGATGTGGCACTTGAGGACACGGTTCTGGTGCTGGGCTGGTTGGAGCTGCTGAGCTTAGAGGGCTTTTCCAACCTTAACGATTCCGTGATTGGAATTTGTCAGTGTCTGGAGTTAACCGTGCTCAGATTCGCCGTCCCAGTGCTCCCAGTGTGTGCAGGGAATGGGAGCAGGAGGCTGCTCAGGGTGTGCTGGGAGCCCCCAGAGCAGAGAGCTCTGAGGGGAACGGCGTTCCCAGCCCTGCCGTGCCTCTGGATCTGTCACCGCTCCCATTTCCCTTCCTCTGGAGAGGCCCAGCACGTGTCCCCGGGCAGGGAGAAGGAGGTGCTGGTGAGGGGTGGGAAATCCTCTGGAAGGACACGAGAGGCTCAAAAGCTCGGAGAGAGACTGTGCCCGCCGGGGTCGGGGGGCAGATCCGGCAGCCCTTCCCTTGGGATGTGTCCAGCCTGAGCATTCCCAGGCACGGAACTGCTCGGGTCTGACTGCTGGAAATCCTTTCATTTGGACCTCTCCAGCCCTGCTTTGCTCCAGAGGAAGGCGTCCCTGCCCACGGCAGGGGGCTGGAGTGAGATGAGCTTTAAGGTCCCTTCCATCCCGAGGCAGTCTGCGATTCGATGATTGGGATGGACGGATCACGTAACGGGGATATTTTCTCTCTTCCTGCCCCATCCTTTAGGATTTTTAGATGTGCCCTGATGCCGCAGGGTCTCCCGGCTCCTGGAAATGCAGCTCTCTTCCAGCGTGGCTGAACTCAGCTGCGACGAGACCATGGACCCACCCGCCGAGGACTTCCAGCAGGTCCTGTCCATCGACCAAATCCGCTCCATCCGCGCCAGCAACAACTACGTGGAGAGGCCGGCGGCGTGCTTCCAGCAAACCCGCTCCAACCCCTCGCTCTCGCAGGCCCCGCACAAGCAGGAGTGGCCCCAGGAGCGCCTGGCGTCCTCCACCTTGCAGGACCTGCACCGCAGCCACAGCCAGCAGCACCAGATGCCCCTGCAGCCCCACCTGAGCCACTCGAGCACGGCCAGCTCGGTGTCGCAAAGCACCGCGGCCTCCGAGCAGCGCCTGCTGAGCAGCCTGACTCCGTCGCACTCCGGGCACTCTCTGGTGCGGACGCAGCCCCTCGGAGGGGAGCTGAAGGCGGAGGATTCTCCGCGGAAGGGCTCGGAGCAGCCGGCGGGGCACGGGCACCTGCTGCTGTGCGAGGCTTGCGGGCGCTGCCGCTGCCCGCGCTGCACGGCCGCCCGCAGCCTGCCCTCCTGCTGGCTCTGCAACCAGCGCTGCCTCTGCTCCGCAGAGAGCCTCCTCGACTACGGGACCTGCCTCTGCTGCGTCAAGGGGCTCTTCTACCACTGCTCCACCGACGACGAGGACACCTGCGCCGACGACCCCTGCTCCTGCGGGCCGGGCTCCTGCTGCGCCCGCTGGGCTGCCATGAGCGTCCTGTCCCTCCTCCTGCCCTGCCTCTGCTGCTACTTTCCCACCCTGGGCTGCCTCAAACTTTGCCAGCGGGGTTACGACGGCCTGAAACGCCCCGGCTGCCGCTGCCAGAGCCACACCAACACGGTCTGCAGAAAGATCTCCTCCGCCAGCGGCACGCCCTTCCCCAAAACGCTGGACAAGCCGGTATGACCCTCCCGAGGAGGAGAAGCGAGCTTTGCTCCTCTTCCTCCCCCTCCTCTTCTCTGCTCCATCCCCCCTCTGCTCCGCAGTGCTCCCCCCTCCCCACCATCACCTTTTGATTGAGACAGGTGACCTGGGGGTCCCCCCGGGCTTTGGGACACCCGGGCTGGGCGGCCGGGGGAGCCGACACCGAGCCGGGGGCCACCGAGCCGGGGCCACCGAGCCGGGGACACCGAGCCGGGGACACCGAGCCGGGGACACCGAGCCGGGGACACCGAGCCGGGGGCACCGCTGGTTTTGCACAGGCGGGAGAGGGACGGGACAGGCAGAGCGAGCTGAGGGTGCCCTCCCTGGCTGTGTCCCACAGGGAAAGGTGACCCAGAGGGTCCTCGGGGCTCTGCCCCCACGGCGGGGGTACCTGAGGCCCCTCAGGACTCCGCTCTCCGAAGTTTTGGGAGCTGCCCCACAGCGTGGTCCTTATCCACGGGGGAGGAGACGGGTCGGTGCGTCCCTGTGCCAGAGCCCCTCGGGAGCCAGACCTCCTCCTCCCACTCTTCCTCCCTCTCCAGCACTTTCCGTGGTTGGCCTTTCTCCCCTCAGCTGGCCACAGGTCCCTTTTCCCAAGGGGCTGGGCTGCCAAGGGGTCTCCTCCAGGCTTGGAAGCCGCTGGGAGAAGCGAGCGAGCTCCAAAATGAGGTGGCACTGTGTTTTTCTGTCTCAAAGAGGAAGAGAAGGTGTGGGAAGCTTCAGAAACCTTCTGGCAGGGGAAGGAGCTATCGGAGGCAGCCCAGCCCACTCGCTCCTGCCCGACTGCAGCGAGGGAAAGGTCCCCTCTGGGATTTGGCTGAGAACAAGGAGCTGCTTGGAAATTGCCATTCATTTCTCCAGGCCTTGGAGGGCTGCCTGAGGTGGGAGCTGCCGCCTGGCTCCGTCTCACCAGCCAGCAGATGCCACAGGCACCGGCTCCGTGCTCGATCCCCGATCTGGTACCTTCCACCAGCACTGAATTCACTTTAAAAAACACGGCAAGGCCAACTGTGAGCAGGCACCGCTCCGGGGACTCCCCAACGGGGGCTTCTGTCACCCTGCCTTGGGCTGGAGGACACGGGGAGCAGGAAGGGGTGTCGAAGCTGGGGACCCCGACCTTCCCTCCCTGCCACGCTTCCTTTGAGGCCTCTCCTCGCTGAGGGGTTCTGGAGCCTCGGGAAGGGGCTGGAGGCGGCGCTGGGGCCGGGCTCTCCGCGGAGCAGACGATGCTGAGATCCGGGTCAGCGCTCCGCCTTGCCTCGCCGGGATGATGATGATGATAACCCCGGCTGGGGGGTCTCCTGCTGCTCCTGGGCTCAGCCCCATCTCTGGGTCCTGCCAGCTCCTGCCTGGGACCCCACTGGCGTCATTTGGGGGAGTTTGGAGCGGGGATGGCCTGTCCTGGAGCCGGCCTGTCCCCCTTCCCAGGTGTGTGAGCGCAGAGAGGAGGGAAAGGTGTCCCTGGAGGAATATATGCAACACATATATTCATATATTGAATATATGCAACACATCCCTTGGCTTCTCCCAGACCCAGCTCCCAGGGCCTCCCGTCGCCTCCTCCCAGCCGCCTCCTTCCGTAGAGTTCTGTGGATCTATTTTTGTAGATATAAATATAACGTTAGGATGGGTAGGTCTATTACTAATAATAATCATGATACTGCTGTGAACGGTGCCAGGTACAAGGTTTGGCTTCCTGGTGCACTTGCACATGCTGGAAAAGGTGATTTCCCAGTCAGTTTGTTGCTAATCCCAGACCCTTGTTCCCAGGTTGTGGGGAGAGGGGAAAGGGAGGGGTAGGGATTGCCTGGGGGTCTGCTCTGCAGGGAGGGGGGAATTCAGCGCTGGCTGGGAGGTGAGGCAGAAGTGGAATCTCACTGTGGAACTCCTCTTTCCATCCATTCGCTTTCTAAAAACCGTGGTGGATCCAAGCTCCTTCTGTTGCGGGGAGAAGTGGTTCCAGGCAGTGATTCATCCCGCCTGGAAGCATTATTCATTAAATCCTGTGCTGGCTGTGCCCGGCTCCCCTGACTCAAATGGCACCCAAACATTGATCTCGAGGTTCTGTGGGGAAGGGGGGGATGAATCCCACCCCTGGTGGGAGGTTTGTGCTGGAGAATGTTGTGGACATGAGTGAAATCCTCTCCCTGATTTCACCCAGAGCCTGGGGAAAGATCTGTGGGTGTCTCAGGACGATGCAGAGGGATCTCCTGGCATTAGGAAAGGACAGAACCCCATCTGTGCATGCTCCATCCCCGAGGCCAGCCTGCACCCCGGAATCATTTGGATTTTAAAGCCATGACTTCCTCAGAGGATGCCCTGTGAACCCCTCTAAGATCATTCCCGTGGCAGCAAATACAAAATGCATTGCAAACACATTTATCCTTATGCCAATAATTGCTCTGCTCCCTACTCCCAGGTGAGGCTGTGGGGAGACGCTTCCTCCAGGAGTCTCCTTCCTTTGGAAGGCTCAGTTCACTCTTCTATTGGTGCTGATTAAACTCCTTCTTCATAAAAACCAGAGAGTGTTTTCAGGGAGAAAAGGTCCCTTTTTCCCTGTGGGTTGGAGGAACTGTCTCCCTTGAATGAGAATGTGAAACAGTTCATTGAAACTTTTTAAAGAAAACTAATGAACAGAATTTTCCAACTTGCTCTACTTTGATTTTTTTTTTTTCTCCTCCTCCTTTTTAAACGGATCCCACTTGTAAATTTAGTTACCACCTCTGTATCTTTGCAATTCATTGCTTCCTCTCCTGATGGTGGAATGACTCAACATGTGAAGCTTCATCATTTTCACGGCCTCCCAAGTCATGCGAGCGCGGGGTGACCTCCCCCAGGTGCTGGAGCTGGGGGATGAGGAGAAGGCTGCCCATGGATCAGCTCCCCAGAGCCTGCTCTGTTCCCTGCAGGAACCGGGCTCCACCCAAGGGGCTCTTCCTGGGTCAGTGCAGGAGCTCCTTTCCTACCAGGGAACGGTGCCACAGCCTGCTGAGGGCTGAGAGCACGGCCAGGGCTCTGGAACATCTCCTCGCCACGAAATGACAAATCTGGGAGACGCATTCCATCAAATACCCGCAGTGTAGAAGGGCAGGGGTTTAAAATCTGCGCACACGGTTCTGTGCTGGGTGAATGTTTGGACTCAGTGGTCCTAGAGGGCTTTTCCAGCAGGAATGATTCCATGATTCTAGGAAGTGGAGAGGAGGAGAGCTCCAGCTGGCACCGAGGGACCAGAGCAGGGCTCTGTTTTCACCGAGGGCAGACACAAAGCCATGTCCAGGACCTGAGGGGGCTGGAGGAGTTCAGCCTCAGGTCTCTGCCCTGCTCGAGGGCCAGGTGTCTTCACCTGGAATTCCTGCTTCCCACTCCAGCTGGGGCCCTCGGCACATCTCCTCTGCTCGCTCTCAGCAGGCTGGAGAGCTCGGGAAGCACCAGAAGCTCCGGTCCACCGAGCTCCTCCGTGGTGGGGAAGGCTGTGGGCAGCCTCAGATTCTTTCCCCGAGCTTTTCCCAAGCGGATCCATCCTGCTCCATCCCCACCTCTGTTTGCTTTGCCTGTGGAGAGGGCCTCGGTTCTGCTTGGGGCTGGGAGCCCCTTTCCTGCCCCACCCTCCGTGAGTCAGATCCCAGCTGCTGGGGGTGTTTGGCTGCCTGTCCCAGCACTTGGGCTTTCTCTCTGTCCTGACGTGTCTTTTTTTGGTTTTCTTTTGGGAGCGTGGCACTCGGAGCCCTCTGCTCTCCCACAGGGATGGAGCCGCCTTGTGAGGGAGCGTTCCTGGCTTGTTGTGTTTCCTTTGCCAGGGAATGTGCAGGGCTGGGGGCAGATTGAGGCAGGGAGAGAGACTCAGGTGCCAAAGGTGCAGGAGGCAGGAGCTGCTGAGCAGGACCTGAGCTGCCCCTGCTCTGCTCCCCATCCAGAGCCTCCCTTTCCCAGCCAGGAGTCTAAACCTCCATCCATGCAAGAACCTCTGATGGTTTTTGCTTCCTCCAAGGCTTCCCTTGGTCCCACTCCCCTTTTTCCCCACTGGCAAATCAGTCCCAGCACTGGTGGGGAGGGGTCGTGGGACCAGGCTGGAGTGTCCCATCCATTCGACCTCCTGCTGGAAGGGCCAAAGAGGTCCTTGGGCTGCTGTCCACCCATCCCTGAGAAACATCAGTGCCTCAAAGAGCAGGGGGAAGCCCTTTGTGACTCCCAGATTCCCATAAAATCCCACGGAGTTCACCCCTGCCCATTCCCAGGGGTGAGCTCAAATGGAGGGAGGACAAATGCCAAGGACCAAAAGATGCCAAAGCCTGGAATCAGAGATTGGGAATGGCCCTGGAGTGTGGGAGAGAGGGATGAGGGCATCTGCTGAGGGATTGGCACAGGATTGGAGCCCTAAACTCCTGTTCCCAGCCCCGCTGCTGTCGCTCTTTCCTGGGATGTTCCGAGGCTGGAGAAAAGCTGGGAGTGTTCCGGCACTGGAAGGTCGAATGTTTGTGACAGGGATGTGATAAGGGCTGACCCCAGCCCGGAGCTCACTCTTGGTCTTTAACGGGATCCAGCTCAGCCTTGGCTCCTCCAAGGAGCCCGTGGAGCCCATGGGATGCTCACTGATCCAGGCAGCCCAAACCAACCTGAGCTGGGGCCTCTTGGGCTCAGTTTGCTTTGGGTATTTCTCTTGGCAGCAGGAGAAATCTGATCTGAAATCTGAAGATCTCTTGCAGACCCTCCTGGAGTCACCCTGGGAGCTGGGATCTGTTCTCCTGCTCGGGTGACGCTGCAGGAGCATCCCCTGGGGACACAACCCCGGGGTTCCTTGGGGCACTGCAGGCACGAGGGGTTCTGGATGGATGGGAAGGGCTCACAGCGCTCCGGGGAACGTGTGAGGGAGGCTCTGTGCCCAAAGGGCTCCACCACGAGCAGGACCAGTCCTGCCCCGAGAGCTGGGCCTGGCACGGGAGGTCCCACAGCTCTGTGCCAAGGACACCCCGAGTCCCAAGCTCATCCCCACCTCGCCCCTTCCCCCCTTTTCCATCGGGATGCTCTCCTGGCAGCGCCTCCGCATCCTCCTCCTCCTCCCCCGGTGTCCTCAGCACAAAACTCTCCTTGGAAGATCCCCCTGGGCTCCCCAGGACAGGCCCAGGATCCCAGGGCTCCCATCCCGAGTTTCTGGGTACAAAGC